AAGGAAACCATACCTAGGTGAAAACAAATAGAACAATTTTTTAAAACAGTCAGAGAAAAAAGAAGACACATTACACACAAGGAAGCAATAATGATCATGTCTAACTTCCTAGCAGAAACAATGGAATCCAAAATATAATGGAATAACATCTTTAAAAGTGCTAAAAGGATACAATGGAATATTATTCAGCTATAAGAAGGAAATTCTGATACATGCTACAACATAGATGAAAACATGCTAAGTGAAATAATACAGACACAAATGACAAATATTACATGATTCCACTTAGAGGAGGGACCTAGAACAGGCAAATTCATAGACAAAGAAAGCAAAATAAAGGTTACCAGGGACAGGCAAGAGGGGGATGGGTAATCACTGTTTAATGGGTACAGAGTTTGTTTGGGCTGAGGAAAAAATAGAAATGGATGGTGGCGATGGTTAATCAACACTATGAATGTATTTAGTACCACTGAATTATACACTTAAAAATTGTTAAAATGGGGGCTTCCCTGGTAGGGCAGTGGTTGAGAGTCCACCTGCTGATGCAGGGGACACAGGTTCATGCCCCGGTCCGGGAAGATCCCACATGCCGCAGAGCGGCTGGGCCCATGAGCCATGGCTGCTGAGCCTGCGCGTCCGGAGCCTGTGCTCCGCAACGGGAGAGGCCACAACAGTGAGAGGCCCGCGTACCGCAAAAAAAAAAAAAAAAAAAATTGTTAAAACGGTAAATTTTATGTTATGAATATTTTACCACAATAAAAAAAAAAGAAAAAAAGTGCTAAAAGGAAAAAACCTGCCAACCTAGAAGTCTATATCCAACAAAAATGTCTTTTCAAAGTAAAAGCAAAATAAGGATGTTTTTCAGATAATGAAAGCTGAGAAAAGTTTTCACCACTACATCTACCACATTACCAGAAAATATGTAGCATTCCAGGCTGAAGGAAAAGATGCCAGAAAGAAATTCAAATCTACATATAGGAATGAAATATGTAAGTACATGTGAAAACGTGTAATAAACTTAGAATAAACCTTAGAAAGACATTCTAAAAGCTGAAGGAGAATAAAAACCTACAAATTATGCCCCCCAAAAGGTAATCAAGTATAAAACATTATCATTAACCAGCACCAACATACCATTTTATTTCTACTGAGGATTAAACAAATGGCTGAGTATAAGATGGTATTTAAATTTTTTTTAATCTAAACAATAGTTATAATTTCTCCTTTTAAATTCCCCATAGCTCAGAACCATTCTTTTTTGGAAAAAAAAGAAGAATATATCACTTAACTTTCAAACGCTTTATTCACAGAACATTTCTTGTTGATTGGTTATATAAGTCATAAAAAAAATCTATGGCACAATATAATTTTCTTATTACAAGTATAAAAAATAGTCAAAAATAATTTTGCCATCCTGAAAAAAAATCTAGTACTATTTTCTAACACATTTTTATATAAATGTTCTAAAGTAAAAATGGCAGACTGAATGCATGAATTCATCTCCATGCCCTACTAAAACTTTACCGAAAAGAAATTTAAGTGGGGGAAAAAACTGACATACACAAGGGGTGATTATAATGAGAAGGGAGATACCAACAGTTTTAGAACATAGAAAGCAAGTGGACAAACAGTAACTAATTGAGCAGAAGAAGATGAACCCCAATGCCCACTAGCCAAGACATCACAAAGCAAACTAATCTCGGCCAAAGTAAACTAATTCCTGCCAAAGAAACATCAAGAGAGCTCAAAGTAGAAAGCACCTGGTGTCTCTGAAAGCCAGGTTGAGACTAAAAACAGGAGAATGGGCAGAAAATGTCAATAAGGAACATGTAGATGCCCAAATCCCCTCCTTGTGCTTGCAGAAAACGTGGAGAGGCTGAACTAGATTGGCACCAAATTAGCAGACACCAAGCACATCTGGGAGCAGGTACGGGGCTCTACCTAAAACCGAGTTTGACGTAAAAGTCTGATAAGGGCACCGTGACACCTCCAGCCCCTTCCGTTGTTCTGTACCAGAATACTGGCTATTGCCTTGCCAGAGCTGGGAAGATTTCTCTGTCTAATCCAAAAGAAAAATGTGTAGAGAAATGATCAGTGCCTCCCCTCTTGAGGTCAAACAGACCTGCCCTCACACACAAAGCTGCCAACAGGTCTTTAGGTAACTCACTCATGAATATGAAAACTGCAGAGGGTCACTAGATAGTTGAGGAAATTAGCTAACATGTATTAGGGTCTGAAACAAACACAAAGACAGAGGAAGCAGAAACAGTGGATAAGAACAAGTTTTAAACCATAATATCCTAAGAGAGAGAGTAAAAATACTGAGTTCATGAAACAAAACCCCATGTTTTAAAAGTATTAATCACAGATGAATCTCTAGAAATTAAAAATATGAAAACCAAAATTATAAATTCATTAGAAGTAGATTTGGAAGATAAAATTGAAGAAACTTCCCAGAAAGCAGGACAAAAGACAAGAGATTTTTAAAAGGAGATAAAGTAACTTTTGAAAACGATACATGGGATTAGAGTACAAGATCCAACATCTAATTGAAAGAAATTAGAAAAATATAACAAAGGAGAGATAGGGGGAGAGATTATTACACAAATTTTTTTTAATTTCCCCAAAGCACATGGATTTCCAGATGGAGAGTCCAAAAGAGTACCCAGTACAATAAGTAAAAAAAGACCCATCCCAAGATATCATTGAGGTAATAAGACCACTGAAATAAGAACTTCCTTCCAAAGAGGCAAAAGACACCACAAAAAACTGGGAATCAAAGTGCCAGCAGACTGCATAATAGCAAGACTGGAAATTAGAAGACAGAGCAATTTCTTCAGAAACCTAAGCGAAAGTGATTTCCCACCTTCCATATATCAAATGAGGGAGTAAAACAAGAAAAAAAAAAAAGACATTCGGAAACAGACAATTTGATACTGGAGAGAGAAAAAGGGAATTCCAAAGTGATGGGGAGGTGAAGACCAGATGACAGCTGCACAGCAGGCCTACTGAGCGCCCACTCTAGACCCAGGTTGCCAGGTGGCCTGCCTCCAAGGAAAAACAAGATGGAATTGGCAGATGAGCTGATTTGTGTGCCTGATACAAGAGCTCCACAGCAAGTTCCACTGGGCAGACTCTAAGGCAGCATTAGTGGTGGCGAGTGTGAGGATCCAGGACTCTCACACTCCCGGCCTCCCTGCACACACACATTTCTCCTCCTTCCAGCCTCTCAATATTACAACTTGCAGCAGTATGCAGTTCATTCTGAATATAATGTTACTAAGAGCTGGTCCTTATTAGACACTTGCTATGATAAATAGTCATCTCTTTTTTATACAACTTGGTTTCCTTGGAGCTAATGATTCCTCACTTTTTCATTTGATTAAATTACATTCATAGATTACTTGATAAAAATTTAAAAAACAAGTAGTGTATGTTTTTACTATTTGTTTTATGCATAAACATGTAGCCATGATTTCTTTTTTAAGACAGACATATAAAACACACATATATACATATTTGTAACCTCATTTTTCACTTTTTTAAGTCATTATTAGATTTAATCATTATTAGTCTTTATAACAATTTCCAGTTACTTCATAACATTTCATTATAAGACTATGTGATAGTTTACTCACGTTCCTCTGTGTTGGACATAAGTCTTTTTCAAATTTTTTAATAATCTTTCTTTATGCTTTCTTTTCTTCCCTTTTTTTATTGAAGTAGTTGATGTATAATATTATATAAGTCACAGGTATACAATATAGTGATTTTACAATTTTTTAAAGGTTATACTCCATTTATAGTTACTATAAAAATTGGCTATATTCCCTGTGTTATACAATATATCCTTGTAGTTTATTTTATATATAATAGAATTTTTTTTTTACATTCTTAATAATGCTCACTGAGTACCCTTCTACATAAATCTATGTCTATATCTCTGATGACAAGTTCCAAGATGCAGAATGGGTTTAAGGCTTTTGATCTATACTACTTAGCTGTCCTCCAAAATTTCTGCCAATCTACATTTGTACCTACAATGTATTATGTTCATTTTACCACACACTTACCAGCAGTAATACAATATTTTTTAACTCTTTCACCAAGTGAGCAGGAACAGATTTAACATGTATTCACCTTAATTTGAATGTCCCTATTAGTTATGTTATATTATCTATTTATGACTTTTGACCCTTTTCTATTGGGGTATCACATGTATTCGTGTGACTTTTAATCTGGCAAAACTTGCATATGTATCCCATTGTCATAGTTATGATAAATGTTTTTTCAGTCTTAACTCTTCTGCAGTCACACTTTTGTTCTTCCTTCTCATACACTTGGTACCTAGATAGGCCTTCCTCAGCTCAAGGTTGTGTAAATGTTGACCTATGTTTTCTTCTCTCTCTCTGAGTGGCTGGTATTATGGTTTTATTGTTAGTAATTATTTTAAGTAGCCTAAAAGGGATCCTTTAACAATACTTCTATAAAAACATGAGCAAGGACTTCCCTGGCGGTGCAGTGGTTAAGAATCTGCCTGCCAATGCAGAGGACATGGGTTCGATCCCTGGTCCGGGAAGATCCCACATGCCCCGGAACAACTAAGACTATGAGCCACAACTACTGAGCCTGCGTGCTGCAACTACTGAAGCCTGCGCACCTAGAACCCGTGCTCCGCAACGAGAAGACACCACAATGAGAAGCCTGTGCACCGCAATGAAGAGTAGCCCCCACTCGCCCCAACTAGAGAAAGCCCACGCACAGCAACGAAGCCCCAATGCAGCCAAAAATTTTTTTAAAAGCATGAGAAAGCAGGAGTGGGGGGACCTCAAGAATATAAAGGTGGCTTAAAATCAAATAACTTTCTATTTATCTTTTAACTAAAATATTTCAACATACAAGCTTTCTTCCTTAAATACAGGTACTATATGGATCAAAAGCAATGTAACACTTTCAGGTATATATGCTAATACAGCTTAATTTTGAAAAGTTTTACTTACTTGTGGTCATGATGTTAGGAGGGCAAGAGGGTATTCCATGATCTACTGCCCATCTGTAGGCTCCTTCTCCAACTAAAAAGCTAACAACAGAAAAATTACTCTTTTAAAAATTCATAGTGTCATCTTCTCCTACATATTCAATAAAGTAATATAAGTAATATAGTAAGGCAACTGAAAAAATTTTGCAATACCTCAAAATGGCTACATGCCTAAAAAATTCTTTTAATTTTTCCCCAAGTTAGAAATTTTACAACTGGAAATGGTACAATATCATTTGCAATAACTAACCAGTAAAAATTGGCAAAATGCAACATAAGAAGTAAAAATAGTTGATTTCCCAGTGGAAACTACTAAGATTTATCTTGGATCAACTGTGGCTCTCAGTTTATGTACAAGATCTATTTCATCAGATTAAGAGTCAAAGCTTAAGTGAATGTCTTCAGATTTAGTATTCTTGCCTAGTATAACACCTGGATCTACCCAAAATGAGTGGGGTACATCCAGAGATGCCCAAACACAATGATATGCACTTACATTTCTAAGCCTCGATGCAATAAAAACATATATATGGCTGTCAGAATCATTTTTACTGTGGTAAATAAAGCAGTGTGGTATGTCCCAAAAGTAATTTTTTTAAGTCCCAAACTGCAAGTTTTAACATAACAAAGTGAATAAAAGGATACTGTTAGCTAACTGTAAAAGACTTCCTTTCAAAGATTTCAAATAGCATGCAGGATAATTAACCACCCCATTCCCTAACACAGTAATAGCAAGCAGTTACCATAATAATCAATCACTTCATCTCCTTCCACAGCCAACTTCTTAAAGCTCTCAGCCAGCTAGTAATGGATTCCTTGAACTAGTGCCTACTCATTAGTTTCCTGCTCCCTAGTTTTTGTTTCTGTTCCTCTAATCATTCCAACACTAAAAACTCAAAGTAATACATATTGAAGTCTTTAGATTTGATTGTTCGTAAGAAGATCAATGATAGATTAGAAGAAGAAAGTCTAAGTTGATACTCAGAAACATATCCAAATGGTTCCAATGAGAAACAAATTGGTTAAGCCAATAGTTACTACTATTTTCCAGTAATATATGAAGGTGAGAATGGAGGGAGCATTAAAAAAAAAAGAGAAGAGGGAGAGAGCCAACAAGAATACCTCTTCAAACTTCCATTTTTTAAAAAAAAATCTAAAGGACTCCAAAAATAGAAAAGTTCCTCCTATTCCTGTATCAAATGAAGACCACTGCAAAGAAACTGCAAAGAAAAGCTGTCACATAAAGGAAAATGGAAGAATAACGGAGGTAGGAACTTGGATGCAAGTTGAGCTGTCCTGACAGCATTTGTAGCCCTTCCTTCTGCTAGAAAAAGACTTTGATATAAGAAATAAACTCTCTTCATGTGAAGACGTAAAAGAGATGCTGAAGTATTAAATTAAATGATCAGGACAGAAGTTTGGAGCTGAATCTAGTATTCTCAGCACTCCCATTCGTCATTTGGGGTTCTATCCCAGCATCTGGAATTGAAAGTATTTTATAACATAAGCTTAGTTTTATTTTTCATTTCTTAATCATTCATAGGTTTGATTCTAAATAAAATTAGTTTGCAGTTGTCTGCTACGCAAGGTTTTAAATACATTAGGCGTTGTACAATATTCACAGGAAGGTGAATATTTGATGCTGTCTTACGGATAAGAATTCTGAGATCTTGACCTTTCCTTACAACCAAAAATTACTTGTCCAGTAGTTTGACATCACACAAAATGGCATATAACTGCTTTTGAAATCATTTTAAAATGCTAAAAAGCTACGTGAGCTTTCGCTAAAAACTATACTACCAAAAATGAAAAATCTCTTCCCAGAACACTGAATGCAGCACCAATTCAAATTTTTCTCAAATATTCTTCTGACTCTCCAAGGAGAAAGCTTTCACAGAAGTTTCACCTCAATTCACTAGAAAAATCCATCGACTCCACCTTGTTAACACATCCAGAATCTGACCACTTCTCGCCACCGCCCTGGTCTGAGCTGCCATCATCTATTACCTACAGTGTTGAAATGGCCTCATCACTTCCATGCTCACCTTGCTCTGTCCCCTGCCCCAGTCTAATCTCAACACATCAGCCAGTGACATCCTTGTAAAACACAAGTCAGGTAATGACATTTCTCTTCTCAAAATCCTGCGAAACCCCTCACGAGGACTCTAGCATGAAAACTGGAGCCTTCACCAGGATCTCCAGGCTCCCAAGTGATCTGGTCTTCTCTGCTCCCTCCTCCCCTCATCTCTTCTTCCTCTTGCCCCCTTGCTTACTCTGCTCCAGCCTCTTACAAAACACAAACATGCCAAGGGGACTCCTGCCTCAGGGCCTTCACCCTGACTGTTCCCTGTCAGAAACTTCCTTATTTCCCAAATGGCAAATTTTCCCATCTGTTTAAATATATCTCCCTGATGAGGCCAATTTCAAACTGTACCCAACACACTGCTCCTCTACCCAGTACTCCCAATGCCTCTCATTCTGTCTTTTTTACATTTTTTCTGTTTTTCTACCTTCTCACATACCACATAACTTTATCACTGATGATATTATCTCTGTTGTTTATATCTCCCTCAAATAAACTGCAAGCTTCACAACAACAGGGATCTTTGTTTTTCATTGATATCCATATATGCTAAGCATTTAGAACAGTGCCTGAAGCACACTAAGCATTAGAAAAACATTGGCAAGATATTCAACAATAAGCTAGGGTGTCAAAATTCTCTAAAGGACAGCATTTTCCTTGTGTTATGCTCTCCTTAATTTACACTAAAGCAAGTCTAAAGTGTTAAGAAACAAAAGCAACACTACTGAGACCAGCACTGAGTGGGATTATTAAAACCTTCAACAAGCTGAGCTACTGAAGTGCCAGCATAGCCAAACACCCGACAACACAGTGAGGTCAATTAACAGTTTCATGGATGGGAAATTTTCAAAAACCATGACACTATGTAGTCAGTCTAAAAATGTGCAATTTAGTGATTCAGAAAGCTCTCAAAACTGCTTAAAATGCATTATGCTGGATGAGAAAGGTATAGGAGAAAATGACAGCTGCTTCTTTGGACTTAAAAATGGATTTCTATATATTTTACCTATTACTTCTTTATCATAAATGCACAGAACTGAAGAAGGACCACCAATTTGGTGGCTACTGATTATTTAAAGCTTACAAACACATAAAGTGCAAATAAGGGAGAACCTGTTGTATGTGGAAATAACACATAATGACCAAATTAAATAATAAGGATTTAACTCTTCTTAAAATTTTTATTACAAAAATTTTCAAACATATACATTACAGAGAATAGTATAATGAACCCAAAGGATCATCACCCATTTTCATCAATTGTTAATACATTGCTAATCTCACGCATTTATATTCCCACCCAGATTATTTTGAAGCAAATCTCAGATATCATATAACTTCAAATATAAATATTTTAGCATGCATCTCAAAAAATAACTTTTTTAAAAAACATAACCACAACATAACCAATTGACACCTAAAAAAATTAACAATAAATCCTTAGAATCAAAATAGTTTATTCAATCGATGTTCACATTTCCCTGATTGTCTCATAAAATTTTTGCTATTATTGTTATTTTTGCCTTTTAAACTATTTTGTTTGAAGGGGAACCCAACTAACCCATCCATACCTCCTGATTAGTTGATAGCTCTCTTATGTTTCTTTTAGTCTATAGGTTTTTAAATTTTCTTTTCACATTCATACAACAAAGGTACTAAAATCAATGAATTTATGAAATACAATAGGTTAAATAGTATTTTTAAATAAACAATGTACCAAAAATTAAATTTGCATCTCAAAAAATCTGAGGGTCTAATGAGCAATAATGCTTTTCTAGCTTTCCCTTTTTCACCAAAAGAAACATAATTTCCAAAAATTATAACTTATTCTATAACATATTAGGGTAGCAGTCAGCAATTTTTTTTCTGTAGAGGGCCCGACAGTAAACAGTTTGGGCTTTCTGACCAGATGTCTCTGCTGCAACAACTCAGTTTGGCCTCTGCGGAGCACAAGCAGCCATAGACAATATGTACACAAATGGGTATGGCTGTGTTCCAATAAAACTTTATTTACAAAAAACAGGCAGTAGTCCAGATTTGGCCCACACACCATAGTTTGACAACCCCTGTTTTGGATGGTTATGCCTATCAAAGTTGTACCCTATCAAAATGAAGGAGGAAAGAGTAAAAATAAATAAAATTTACTTACTTCTACAAATAAAATAAACGTAGGAAAATACGACACAGTTTATGATAGTAGGCCCACCAAATTTATGAGGATATCATATGCATGCTAAATATATTCTACTAATCTGACCAAACACCAATACTTAAATAATATATCATATCATGGTGGCAATAACCAGAAAATTAAAACATAAAAAATTATCAGCTAATAGAAATACCATTCTGCCTAAAGTTTTGCTGAGGGTTTTTGTAACAAAGCAGTAAGAGTTTATAAAATTCTAACAGAATTTAGATACAGCTGAAACAAATACACTCCCTGTCTTCCTCAATGAGATATATAGACAGATGAACTCTTTATTTAAAGACTTCTTAGAAAACACCCAATGACTTGCTGCCCTCATAGAGTCACCTGTGTCTTCAACAGATGACACCAGAAGACCAGTTTCTAAGTCCTCCATCTGCTTTTGATAGTTTTTCTACCTCTATGCCTGGCATACAGGAAGTAAACAAAAAATATTTGCTGAATGAAGGAATGGGTAAGTGAATGAATAACTAAATGGGTGTAAACATTACTTCTTACTATTATAAAAGGATTCTACTCTATGGGTTCTAATCTGCTGCTTCTAATGTGATAAGGACAGACTCCATAAATTTTTAATAGCATAACAGTGTCAAGTATGGTACTCAGTTTCTTTGTTGGCAAAAGGTATGTTACCCTCATAAATCATATAATGATTTTATGAGATAATACACACAAACCACATAAAACAATGCTTCTCACAGTGTACAAAGGCAATAAATTTTAGCTATTATCATTATAGAAATTAAATATCTAGACTTATTAGGGTTGTGTGTAAACAAGCTTAAAGTAAAAACATGATAAATTTGTTTTATTTATTTAGGATACTCAGGGAATTGGGTTTTTTTTAAACTACTGCAGGTATACTGTGAACTTGCAGGTAGGTGAGAGATTTATGCTTCTGGACAAGATGGAGTAACAGGGAATACATTTACACTCTTGCCTGAACCAATGGAAAAGAAAAATCAGATAAAATACAGAAAATGATAGTTTTCAGGCATTAGACAGTAGGTAGCATAGGACAGTGATCCTTAAAAGAAAGGAAACAAACAAGGTAAACCTTATGATTGCCCTAGCTTACTGCCTGGAGACTTTCCAGCCACAGCACAGGAACAGGAACTCAGGCAGAGCCCTGCAGCCTCTCTGAGTTGAAGACAGAGAGCTGGGCATCCAGAGAAGCCCAGGTGGCCAAGTTCACAGGGCAGAGAACCAGAGAGGAGACAGCTGTGCAGATAAACGACTCAAGAAATCTACAGAGTCCGCCTATAGTCTTCAGCTGAGTACAGATCAGTGTACGTGTAAGATGAAATCATCCAAAGCCTGGGAAAGAATAACATGAAAAGTTTTAGAGGAAGCAATCCCCAAGTTCACACAGGGCCAGAAATAGCTCCTGTTCCCACCAAAGTAAAAAACCGCATTCTAGTTGCATCTGTTATAGTACTCAGAAAGGTTTTGCCCAACAGCAAAGCAAAATTAGCTCAAGGCTAAATGCTTCTCTAGTTGCATGTAACAAAGTATAAAGCAAGACCTGAAAGGATGAAACTGTCTCTAAATAGATTAACCGCATCCTAGAATTAAAATACAGAAATATCCAACACAAAATAAGGCAAAACTCACAATATCTGGAATCCAATAAAAAATTACCAAACATGCAAAGAAGCAGGAAAATGTAACCTATGATGAGAAAAATCATTCAATTGAAAACAACCCAGAAATGACAAAGATGACAGAATTAGGAAACAAAGATACTAAAACAGTTACTATAATTGTATTCATATACTCAAGAAGCAACAGGAAATATCAAAACATGTTAAGTAGATACACAGAAGACATTTTTTTAAGGTGCAAACTGAACTTCTAGAGATAAAAACTACAATGTCAGAAATGAAAAATAAACTGGATGGGATTAACAGGTGATTAGATATTGCCAAAAAATAATTAGCGAACTTGAAAACAGCAATGGAAATTATTCAAAATGAAACAAAGAGAAAAATGAATGGAAAAAGTAAACAAATTATCAGTGATCTGTAGGACCCCTACAAGAGGTCAAATATGTGTAATTGGAATTCTGGAAGATAGAAGAGAAGGGGGGATCAGAAAAAAATATCTGAAGAAGTAATAGCCAAAAATTTTCCAAATTTGATGAACTATATATCCCTACATATTCAAGAAGCAAAATGAACCCAAACCAAAGACATTACAAGAAAGCTACAGACCAATGTGTCTCATAAACATAGATGCAAAAATTCTTTACAAAATGTTAGCAAATTGGATCCAATAACATATAAAAAGGATAATACATTATAACCAAGTGGAGTTTATCCTGGGAATACAACTGTTGCTTTAACAATCGAAAATCAACCAATCACTATATTAACTGACAAAATAAGGAAAATTATAAGATCATTGCAACAGATGCAGAAAAGCATTTGAAAAAGTACAATCCCCATTCCTATTAAAAACTCTCAGCACACTAGGAAAAGAAGGGAACTTTCTCAACATGATAAAGAGCATCTATGATAAACCTATAGCAGCCATCATATCTAATGGTAAAAGAACAAATGCTTCCTCCCTAAGGCTACAAAACAAGGCAAGGATGTCTACTCTCACACTTTGATTTCACATTGCATAGGAGGTGCTAGCCAGTGTAATAAAGAAAAAGAAATTAACTAAAGCAGTTCACATTAGAAAGAAGAAGTATCTTTATTACTTAAAGAACTATCTTTATTCCCAGAAGACAGAACTATCTATGTAGAAAATCTTATGGAATCTGTAAAAACAGTATGAGAACAAATGAATTTAGCAAATTCCTAAGCTAGAATATCAATATAATAAAATTAATCATATTTCTATATTGGCAAGGAACAACTGGTATTTGCCTTTTTAAAATATGCAATTTATCACATCAAAAAGAAACACTTAAGTATAAATTTGATAAAAACTGTGCAAAATCTGTACACTGAAAATTATAAAACACTGTTCAGAGAGGTTAAAGAAGACCTTAAAAAATGGATAAGTTACAAATCTAATCAAAATTCCAGCAGGTTATTCACAGAAATTGACAGACTAATTCTAAAATTCACATGAAAATGCAAAATGCCTAAAATGGTCCAAGCAATTTTGAAAACAAAAAATAAAGCTGAAGAACTATGTACGTGAGAAAATTAGATCACTAGTTCCAGACAACTGTAGGATCATTTTATGATATAATTTTAATACAGAGAGGGCCATCACTTTTTCACATATATTTTATCTTTGTAAAATATAAAAATATTGCACATATCCCCTTTGACAATTGCCTCATCTTGTTCCCTCCTTTCTCCTTCCTAGAAGTAATTATGGTGAGTCTGGTAACCTTCTTTCCAGAACTTTTTTGTACATCTATGTACATGTTTATGTAGACTTAGAAAATCAGAGTGCCAGCATACCTCAGAGATATTGCAAGTTCAGTTCCAGACCACCACAATAAAGTGAATATTGCAATAAACCAAGTCACACAAATTTTCTGGTTTCCCAGTTTATATAAAAATTATGTTTATACTATGCTGTATTTTATTAAGTGTGCAATAGCACTATGCTTAAAATAACACTGTACATACCTTAATTAAAAAACAGTTTATTGCTAAAAAATGCAAACCATCATCTGAGCCTTCAACAAGTCATAGTAGTAAATAACATTAAAGATCACTGATCACAGAACACCATAACAACTATAATAATAATGAAAAAGTTTGAAATATTGTGAGAATTACCAAAATGTGACACAGAGACATGAAATGAGCAAATGCCATTGGAAAAATGGCACCAATAGGCTTGCTTGAAGTACAACTGCCACAAACCTTCAATTTGTAAAAAATGCAGCATCTGTGAAGCCCAATAAAATGAAGTACACCTGTACTGTATATGTTTAATACTATGAAGGAATATATGAGAATGAAAAAAGCTAAAATTGAGGACAATTGTTACCTAGGGGCAGGGCCAGAGGTGGGGTCAGGGTAAGGGTATGGGACAGTGAGATGGATAAGGATGCCATTAGAAAGGGTCCAGTCTAGGCAGCTTCAAATCTCTTGGTAATGTTTCATTTTCTTAACATGTTTCATTTTCTTAACATGGGAAACAGGGATATCGTGAATATATTTGGGTAAAAGGTTTCAAGATTTCTCAAAACTATATTAATTTATTTTCTATGACTTGAAATTATAACAGTCAAATAAAGTGGTTTCTATAGTACCACTGTCACAACTTTCAACAGAGAGTATTAATGTAACTTTAATGTGTTCAGGCATGCTGAACACATATAGTACTAAAGTATAAGATGGTTGAGTATAAGACAATATTGACGCATATTTGTTTATATTATTAGGCATGTTAACAGGACTGTAATTACATTTTGCAAACAGAAATTTACAAAACTATTTAAGGATGAAATACAATGGTGAGGATTTGCTTTAAAATACTATAGGAAAGAGATGCATGAGATAGATGAAGGGCAAAAATATTGTTAATTATTGGAGCTAGATGGTAGGTTCATGAGGGCTCTTTAAAATGTTCTCTCTACTTTCATAAATATTTGAAAAGTTCAAAGTTTCTTTTAATGAAAATTATATGTTAATGCTGGAGAAAAGATGTAATTTTACTAATTTTAGTGTCACAATATGTTTCTCCAGAAAAGAAAAATTACATACTTTTATATTAAGAACTTCTCAAGATTAAAAATGAGTTTAGGGCTTCTCTGGTGGCGCAGTGGTTGAGAGTCCACCTGCCGATGCAGGGGACACAGGTTCGTGCCCCGGTCCGGGAAGATCCCACATGCCGTGGAGCGGCTGGGCCCGTGAGCCATGGCCGCTGAGCCTGTGCATCCGGAGCCTGTGCTCCGCAACGGGAGAGGCCACAGCAGTGAGAGGCCCGCGTACCGCAAAAAAAAAAAAAAAAAATGAGTTTAGACTCTGGTCTTAAAGATACTTTAAAGTTTTATAATAAAAAGACCCCAGTTGAACACTTATTAACAGCAAAAGCATCTCTATAATCAACTACAAAACCTAAAATTAACTGATCTCTTTTCTGCTTTAATCCACAATATTCTATTCCAACAGGAGCTCTATCAAGTATTCAAAATGTTCCAAGATCACAGACCAAAGCGTGTCTTCCTCTCAAAGGCAAGCTACTGCTGGTGTGTAACCAACTGCATCAGCCTTCTGTGGATAAAAATAGCCTTCAAACACCGCATGCACCAAAGACCAAAGACCCAGGGAAAGTCTAAGAACAAAGCAGTTACCAGGGAGGAATTCGGCCGGCTGAGAGCTTGCCCTTCTGCCCTTCACACAAGAGTCTGTTTGCAACTGAGACTGGGTTCTTGATTCCTATAAAATAAAATTGGCAGAAAATGAAGTCAAAAAGTCTTCAAGTTTCCCACTCAATTCTGTGGCAGTTTCAATATGACAAATTTTAAATATCATGGAAAACTTTCTTTAAACATACTAATGAAAACCGTTAATTATCATGAAAAATAAGGATCAAATTGACAAATATATGAATACTTATAGATATCAGAACAAATATAAAACATATATTCTCATTTTATCATGTGCTACAGCAGCAAAGACTGAATTTGCAATAATACAAATTTAAATTAAGTTCCTTTTTAATAGATTTCAGTATAGAATTCAAAAAATAAACTGAAAATGTGGCATCTATTATCAAAACCATGAATTTCCTCTAAAGAATAAACATGATTACAAACAGCTTCAAATTTACTTTGGGGAGAAAAATTAATGACCAAAAATTTTAAATCTCACCTGCAAGAAAAAATAAAGAGAAAGTCCTACAAATGGGATAAGGGTGGGGAGAGGCCAAGTATGTACAAGATTGAGACTTAAAATATGGTTCGGATTGTTTCCAGAAGGGAAAACAAAATGTGGACAGAGAAAAGGGCGCTTACCTAGGAGGAAAAATAGGACAGAAAGTATTAGCATGAAAAAAATTGCTAGCATGACAATGACAATGACAAACATGACAATGATGATGATAGAAGACAGTGACAGAAACTTAGGATCCAGTATGCGCCAGGCCCAGTGTCAAGTCCTTAAATGTATCAGATTATTTAACTGATCCTTCAACTCTATCACATAAGTACAGTTATAAACCCTATCTGATTACTGAGGAAACATTTGCACAGGTTAAGTTACCTGCCCAGGATCACACACTGAGATTTTAACAAAGGCAGCTAATGTCAGAGACCATGCCCTTAACCACTAACCTATGGATGCCTTTCAGAACACTATTAATAACAACAACAACAAAAAAAACCAGAAGTGGGATACAAAGAGACTAAAAACCTCAAATTAAGGTCACCAGATTGCCTTAAAACAAAACTAGATATTTAGCTAAACACCAAAATCTTCTCTGCCCCCCCAAAGAATGTATGAAGTAGCAAAGAAAGAAAAAGGTTAGATCTCTGTACTAGCTCTTTTTTGCAGTACACGGGCCTCTCACTGTTGTGGCCTCTCCCATTGCGGAGCACAGGCTCCAGACGCGCAGGCTCAGCGGCCATGGCTCACGGGCCCAGCCGCTCAGCGGCATGTGGGATCTTCCCGGACCGGGGCACGAACCCATGTCCCCTGCATCAGCAGGCGGACTCTCAACCACTGCGCCACCAGGGAAGCCCTGTACTAGCTCTTAAAATAAATTTATTTCTGTATGTGATGATACAGTATTGTAAAGACATTAATAATTACCAAATTAACTTACAAATTCAAAGCTATAAATTCTCCATCAAAGCTTCAAAAGGATTTCTATGATGCATGACAAGCTGATTCTTAAATTCATCAGGAAAAAAAAAATGAAAAAAAATTTTTTGTAAAAAAATGAAGAGGTATTCACCTTAGAAGATAACCATTTTTTATTAAAAGCTATTCTAATTGAGTGTGGTTTGGGTACAAAATAGACAAATATATCAATGGAATAGAATAAAGCTGAAGTTGAGACACAAACACATGTGCATGTGGCTATTTAATACATGATATAGATAGTATTTCAAATGAATAGGAAAACGGATGGACTATCTATGAGAGGTGGAAAGAACACAGAGTGATGGGAGTCAGAAACCAGCTATCAATTTATCGCTTCTCAGCTATAAATTCACCCTTGGTTGCCTTATGGGTGAAAGTGGATATGGGCCTTTTAACTATGTTTCCTTTGCCAGCTGGCACACGGGTCAGCTTTGTCAGTAGAGGGCACTGGAGACACCATGCAGGAGGAAAAGGTGGCCTGCCAGCCAGGCTCCAGGAGAGCACCAGTTATTCTCACTATCTGGTCCACAAGGTTCTCTCCAGTGCTAAGTGCTTGCGGGGTGCAGCTTTCTCCAGCATTTGGCTACCATGTTTTCCCCAACTCCTGATTCAGGCCACAGCAGCATAGCTGACAGCCCCAGAAAGAACAGGACCAGGCCCAGCTCAAGTCACTGATCCCCACACCTTCTCCTCAGCCCCATAGCAAAGCACCCTGTGGGGCTGGCTGTCTCGGGAGCCAAAAGCCCAATCCTCATCCTGCAAACAAAGGTTTAATTCCCATGGCTTCCTGGCCTCTGTGTGCCCACCTATCAGCCTGAGGCCCCCAGGATTGTTTCTGCTCTCACAGTGACTGTGGCCTGGGTAACCCAGCAAAAATGTGGGCTGTCAAACAGTCAGCTGCAGCCACACCTTTTTCTGTGAGGTCTGAACTCCCTTCCAACTTTATCCTTACCTGGGTAGTCTCCCTCTGCCCTTTACATTAAGCTTCTCCTGTTTAAACTGCTGTGTGGTTTCTGTCCCCTAGTTGGACCCAGACTGACACAGTAACCTTGAACAAATTACTAAATCTCTCCTGTGTCTCAGTTTCCTCACCTATAAAATGGGGATAAAAGTACTGACCTCAGAAGGTTATCATGAGAACTAAATGATTTAACATACATGAACTACTGGAGAACATTGCATGGTATGTATGTAATACTCACCCAATAAATGGTACTTAATATTATTGTTACTGTTGTTATTCAATAAATTATATAGGGACAATTTGCTGATCAATTCAGAAATTGATCAACAAACTGCATTCAAGAAGCCAATGAAAAATAAATTACACATGTATCTGAAGAAAATGTAAGTGACTATAGTTACAGTTATGAGTGAGATAAACCTTAAGAAATGCAAAATACAAAAAAAAAAAAGAAATGCAAAATACAAAAGCCACAAAAGGGAAAGTAATAAGTTTGACAAATAAAATTTTAAATTCCAATATGATAAAGCACGTTATAAACAGAGGTAAAAGGCAAGCCACACAAGAAGTATAAACAGTTCACAGAGAAATGCTAATGGCCTTTAAAAATATGAAATTTCATTAAATACCAATAAAACCTCATAATAAAAGAAATTAAAACTAATTGAAATGCTGTTCTTACCTATCACAAAAATCAGAAAAGATACAGAAGATTGGAACAATGAATAAGTAAATTGACCTAGTTGACATACATAGAATACACACCCAACAACTGCAGAATACTCTTTTGACGTTCACATGGAACATTCATCAAAATACGCCATAAGCTGAGCCATAAAGCAAGTCTCAGAAAGTTTCAAGGGGTTGGAACCATTCAGAATACATTCTCTAACCACAGTGACATTAAACTGGAAGTCAATAAAGTCTTTAGGCAAATAAATTTGACAACTCCTATGAAAAAGACAAATTCCTTGGGAAACACACATAAGAAAAAATATAGATAATCTTATAACTGGTAAAGAAATTGAATCCCATTTATTTAAAACTTCCCACAGAGAAAACTCCAATGATTCAAAATAACTAATGCATTTTCCAAACAATTAAAAAACATTCCAATTGTACACACACTCTTTCAAAGAACAGAGGAGAAAAAAATCCCAACTCATTTTATGAGGCCAGCCATAACATGATTCCAAAATCTAAAAAGAATATTTTAAGAAAGTAAAATTAAAGCCAATCTATTAGATAAACATAGATGTCAAAATCTTAAACATCAGTAAATCAAATCCAGTGGAATGTGAAAAAGATAAAAAATTACAATCCTGACTTTATGCCAGGAATGAAAAGTTGGTTTAACATTCAAAAATCAACCATAAATTCCATCATATGTAACAAAATAAAAAAGAAAAGCCAAAGATGCAGAAAAACACTTAATGATATTCAATAACCCATTTAAAATAAAAATTATCAGCAAACTAAGACTAGAAGGAAATGTCCTCAATCTGATAAAGAGCATTTATGAAAATCCTACAGCTACCAGCACACAGTATGGTGAAATATCTAATGCTCTCCCTCTAAGACCAGGAACAAAGCAAGGATGTACACTATCACTGCTTATATTCAATATTGCACCGAGTGTCAGAGCCAGCACAATAATGCAAGAAAAAAAAATTTTTAATATTAGAAAGGAAAAAAAAAAACTGCCATGATTCAAAGATGTGACTGTGTATATAGAAATTACAAGAGAATCTATTTTTCTAATTGCTTGAATTAATAAGTGAAGTCATCAAGGCCACTGAATATAAGTCCAATACACAAAACTCAACTGTATTTCTAAATATAAAAATAACTGTATATTAATTTTTAAAATATATATTTACAATAGCCATCAAAAAAACTTAATATCTAGAATAAATCTAATAAAAAGGGTGTATAAGACATCTATACTAAAAACCATAAAACACTGCTGAGAAAGAAATGAATAATATTTATACAAATGCACATATTTCATGTTCATGAACAGGAATATGCAATATTGTTAAGATGTCAGTTGTCCACATATGGTTTTATACATTCAATGCAATACCAGTCAAAATCTCAGCAGGGTTTTATTATGGACATTGACAAGTTGATTCTAAAAATTTTATGAAAATGCCATAAACTTAGAATAGCCAATACAGGGGCTTCCCTGGTGGCACAGTGGTTAAGAATCCGCCTGCCAATGTGGGGGACATGGGTTCGAGCCCTGGTCTGGGAACATCCCACATGCTGTGGAGCAGCTAAGCCCATGCGCCACAACTACTGAGCCTGCGCTCTAGAGCCCGCGAGCCACAACTACTGAGCCCATGTGCCACAACTACTGAGCCCATGTGCCACAACTACTGAAGCTTGCATGCCTAGAGCCCGTGCTCTGAAACAAGAGAAGCCACGCAATGAGAAGCCCACGCATCGCAACAAAGAGTAGCCCCCGCTCATCGCAACTAGAGAAAGCCCAGACCCAACACAGCCAAAAATAAATTTATTAAAAAAAAAAAAAAAGGGCTTCCCTGGTGGCGCAGTGGTTGAGAGTCCGCCTGCCGATGCAGGGGACGCGGGTTCGTGCCCCGGTCCGGGAAGATCCCACATGTCGCGGAGCGGCTAGGCCCGTGAGCCATGGCTGCTGAGCCTGCGCGTCCGGAGCCTGTGCTCCTCAATGGGAGAGACCACAAAAGTGAGAGGCCCACGTACCACAAAAAAAAAAAAAAAAAAAAAAAAAAAGAATAGCCAATACAGCTGTAAAGAAAAAAAAGAAAAAGGAAGTTGGAAGTCTTACACTATCAAATTATCAAAATACAATATAAAGCTATAGAAATCAAGACAGTGTGGGACTGGCAATAGACAGATTAATGGAATAGAAGGTATAGAAACAAACCATTACACATACAGTCACATGATTTGCCAACACAATTCTATGAGGAAAGAACTGTCCTTTCTATTGACAATAGCAATGAGTCATTTGGATATCCATAAGAGGGCAAAAAGTTAATTTCGGTTCATACTTCACTCAAATTAATCTGAGCTTGATAAGAAAGCTAAATGTGAAGGGTTAAAAACAATAGAACTACTAAAAGAAAACAGTGGAAGCTACCTTCAAAACTTTGGGTAGGCAAAGATTTCTTAAACAAAATACAATAAAAATTAACCATAACATTAAAGGTTGATAACTTAAACTTCATTAGAAGAGTGAGCAACAGACTGGGAGCAGATATTCACAATACATGTATCTGACAAAGGATCTGTATGAAAAATATATAAGGTACTCCAACAAATAAATTTTTTAAAAATCCAATAAAAAGTATGCAGGGGCTTCCCTGGTGGCGCAATGGTTGAGAGTCCGCCTGCCGATGCAGGAGACACGGGTTCGTGCCCCGGTCTGGGAAGATTCCACATGCCGTGGAGTGGCTGGGCCCGTGAGCCATGGCTGCTGAGCCTGCGCATCCGGAGCCTGCGCGTCCGGAGCCTGTGCTCCGCAACGGGAGGGGCCACAACAGTGAGAGGCCCGCGTACCGCAAAAAAAAAGTATGCAAAAGACTTGAACACACTGCACAACAAGGACATCTAAATGGCCAATAAGCATATGAGACGGTTCTCAATATCATTAGTCACCAGAGAAACTCAAATTAAAACAATAATACCACTACACACGTATCAAAATGACTAAATTTTAAAAAGAATAACAGTATCAAACATTGGCAAGGATGCAGAGTAACTGAAATGCTCATACATTGTGGGAGCATAGATTGTAACAACTACTTTCTAAAACTGTCTGACAGTATCTTCTAAAGCAAAGTACATATGTACTTAAACTTACCATTCCAAATCCTAGGTTTGTACTCAAGGGAAATATTAATAAGTGCATATGTCTACCAAAAGACATGCACAAAAATATGCACTGGAGTTTTATTCATAACAGTCAAAAACTAGAAATTATTTAAATATCCACCAAGAGAATAAGTTATTTTATACACATGCAATAAAATGCTATTAACACAAAAGAAAAAACTACTATGACACAAATCATAAATCAATCTCACAGGCATAACATTAAGCAAAAGAAACCAGACACAGAGGTGTACGATTCCATTCATAGGAATCTGAAGAACAGGCAAATTAACCTATGGTGCCTAAAGTCAGAATTAATGGACAAGGGGGAGTGGGTAGGAGGAGAGTACAAGAGGTATAAACTAGGAAGAGGCATAAAGAACCCTTCTGGGAGTTTGGAAATGTTCTATATTTTGACATGGAAATGTTTTATGTCTTGATTTGGTGGTGGTTTACATGGCTATATACATCTAGAAATTAATGAAGTTTTATACTTAAAATCGCTTATATGTGGAATCTAAAAAATGGTACAAATGAACTTATTTATAAAAGAGAAATATAGTCACAGATGTAGAAAACAAACATATGGTTACCAGGGGGAAGGGGAGGAGGGATAAACTGGGAGATTAGGATTGACATATACATAATATTATATATAAAATAGATAACCAATAAGGACCTACTGTATAGCAAAAGGAGCTCTACTCAATATTCTGTAATGGCCTATATGGGAAAAGAATCTAAAAAAGAGTGGACATATGTATAACTGATTGACTTTGCTGTATAGCAGAAACTAACACAACATTGTAAATCAACTATACTCCAAAAAAATATATTTTTTTCAAAAATCTGTGCCCTTCATGTATATTTTGTTTAATAAGTAAACAGCAAAACATTTGTATCTTATATGTACTGATGTGGAAAAAATCTCCAAGACATCCTATTTAAAGAAAAAAAGAGGGCTTCCCTGGTGGCGCAATGGTTGAGAGTCCGCCTGTCGATGCAGGGGACGCAGGTTCGTGCCCCAGTCCGGGAAGATCCCACATGCCGCGGAGCGGCTGGGCCCGTGAGCCATGGCCGCTGAGCCTGCGCGTCCGGAGCCTGTGCTCCGCAACGGGAGAGGCCACAACAGTGAGAGGCCCGTGTACCGCAAAAAGAAAAAAAGAAAAAAAGAAAGTTTCATAATAATATGTACATTGATTTTTTTTAAATATGTGCAAAACTATGTTTCTCTTACATATAAATATGGATAAATGTACATTATTTTACTGGTTAAACCTCCTAAGGAGAGTTTTGGAAGGAAAGATTTGGAAGACCAAAGGTAAATTTTATTTATATCATTTGAAGTTTTTAACAATAAAAATATATTATTTGTGTATTCAAATAATTGCAAAACTAATAGAATATCCTAACTCCCATTTTACATGTCTGTAATCTCTTGAGGAGATGGAGGAGAATGATCAAACTCTAACCAAAGACTTGGACATAAGCTATTTCACTGTTTTCTTTCTATCTGTAGGTAAGATTTTCTGTTTTAAATTCCATAAAAGAAAACAATGTTTGTTTTCAACACTATTCCAAGTAAGAATGAAGAAAACAATTGAGCTAAGTCTTTAGGAGGAATGAAATGGTAATATTCAGGTTTTTTCTAAGAATAGAGATAATGTGTTATAATGTTCACATACCACTCAGTGCTCCAACAGCTCCAAAATTCAGGGATTTTCCATCCATTATGCTGGCATCACACTCAATTTCACCCAGGAGATTTAGATTAGATCCCATTCCTGCATTTGTAAAAGGAGAATCCTAAAAGATAAAAACAAACATTAAAATACCATTAGTCTTAGAGAAGAATTAATGTCAACACTTCATAAACTCTTCCACAAACTAGAAAGGGAAAGAACACTTCCCAACTCATTGTATGATACCAGTGCAACCCTGATTCCAAAACAAAGCAAAGATATCATAAGGAAAGGAAACTACAGGACAATATACCTTGTGAATATTGACACCAAAATCCTCAAGGAAAGCAAATGCAGCAAAATATGAAAGGATTAAACACCATGAACACGAGGGATTTCAGGAAAGCAAGTTTGGTTCAATATCTGAAACTCATTGTAATACACCATGTTAATAAAATAAAGAATAAAACAAATTTTTAAAACATGATCATATTAATAGAGAAACAGTATTTGACAAAATCCAATACCCTTTCATGAGAAAAACACTCAACAAACTAGAAATAGAAGGGAACTTCCTTAACATGATAAAGGGCATCTACAGGAGTCCAAAGCTAACATCATATTTAATGGTGAAAGACCCTTTCCCCTAAGATCAGGAAAAACACAACAATGTTCACTCTTACCACTTCTTTTCAGCATTATAGTGGATATTCTGAACAAGACAATTAGGCAAGAAAGAAAAACAAAGAGCATCTAGATTAGAAAGGAAGAAGTAAAATTACCTCTATTGGAAGATGACATGATCTTGTATACAAAAAATCCTAAAAACTCCACTAAAAAACTATGAGAACTAATAAAAAAGTTCAACAGGATTGCAAGATATAAGCTCAATATGCAAAAATCAGTTGTATTTCTATACCTTAGTAATGAAAAATCTGAAAATGAAATTAAGAAAACAATTCAATTTACAATAACATCAAAAAGAATAAAATAGGAATAAATTTAACAAAAGAAGTGTAAGAGGTGTACAGTAAAAACTATAAAACATGTTTTAAAGAAATTAAAGACCTAAGTCAATGGAAGGACATCAATGTACATAGAACAGAAGACTTAATATCTTTAAGATGGCAATACTCCCCAAATTGGTCTGATTCAACACAATCCCTTATCAAATCCTAGCTGCCGTTTTTTGCAAAAATTGACAAACTAATCTTACAATTCATATGGAAATGCAAGGAACTAAGAATAGTCAGAACAATTTTTAAAAGAAAAACACTTTTTTTCTTTTAAAAATTGAAGGCTCACACTTCTAGGTTTTATAACTTACTACAAATTAAAGTAATCAAGACAGTGTAATATGGACATATAGCTAAGGATAGACATAGATCAATGCAATAGAAGTGTCCAGAAATAAGCCTTACACTTATGGTCAATTCATCAGGGATGCCAAAACAATTCAATAAAGAAAGGATAACTTATACGAACCTACTGTATAGCAAAAGGAACTCTACTCAATATTCTGTAATGACCTATATGGGAAAAGAATCTAAAAAAGAGTAGATATATGTATATGTATAACTGACTGACTTTGCTGTACAGCAGAAACTAATACAACATTGTAAATCAACTATACTCCAATAAAAATTAATTTTTTTAAAAAAGCAGAAAACAAATACTTCTTTACTGGGTTCAGCAATTTAGTAAGTGAAAATATATATGCAATAAAGTTTCAGTTACAGTATTAAAAAAAAAAAGAGAAAAGAAAGTATAGTCTTTTCCATAAATGGTGCTGGGACAATTAGATATCCAAACGCAAGAGAGTATCTGAGTCAGAAATCACAGTCAATGCAGAAAAATTAACTATGTTCTAAGCTAAGACCAATATTATCTAGGAAACCAGGGCAATTCTTTACCAACCTAAAGATCACCAAATGCCCAAAATTATCTACAAATGTCCCCAGTTTCCTGGATCCAAGAAAAACTGACCACAACATTAAGACCTCCCTAATGTGTACCTATAACTTGAGCAAAGGGGTCAGGTATTTGAGACCAGGGCTTTTGTTCTAATGCAGTTAGAAAATCTAATTGTCCACAGAATTTTAGAAGATCACAGACTGGAAAACAACAAAAGGTCTGTATAATTAAATAGAAAGTGAGTGATACAAACAATAAGTACTTTGAGGATTCAAAAGGAAATGTCCCAGTATAAGATGAAGAAGTTAATAGCAGACTTCTTGAAGGATGTAAAACAAAACCAAAGACTGGTCAGGGAGCTAGAAAATTCCACTTGGTGGATATGCAGGGAGCAACACATAGGCAGCCGTAAAGCGTCAGAGTCACAGAAGACACATTTAGGAAACATGGTTGGCTGGAGCCAAATATGGAGATTGCTCCATGCCACTCATCAGAATCTGGACTTGATTGGGAAAATAATGAGAAGCCATTCAAGCTTTCTGTAGAAGAAAAAGTCAAGATGAGTATACTGGCCAAGGAAACATAAACTGACATTCACATATTATTGATATATGAAAAGGAAGGGGAGGAAACTGAAATCAGAGAGACCAAACTGGAGGCTATTTTACAATGCAGGCTTGAAACATTAACCACTTGATATGAAATGACAGCAGCAGGGAAAAAGAAACAGAAAGAAAGAGAAAAGGACCAGAACTTCCAAACTTGAGAGATAAATAAAACCATTAATAAAAACGGGGCATTTTATAAGATGAAGGAAAGAAATTGCGTAATTAATTGTAACGAGTTTGAATAAGGCCTTCCAAGTGAATATTCTACCTAAATCAATTCACAACTAAATATTGGGAAAGAGATCACAACTAAATAAGGACTATGATTTAGAACAGATAAAGACTGAATCCTTGCCCTGGATTATTTCGTATGTGTGTATATTGGGGGAGCGGCAGAGAAAGGTTTACTGCAGGCAGGGCCAAGCAAGAGCGGGCGGCTCATGCTCAAAAGCCTGAACCCATATATCCAAACATATAAAGACCCAGGTCAGAAGCCTCTATGACACTGAACAGAGAGACTGTACAAGTAAGCACAAGTAAATTATCACCATATTACAAGGGTTTTTTTTTTTTTACTCTACATAACCTCCCTTGCCTAATCACATATATCTTTCAAAGTATGTGAGAAAGGAACTGAAATGTGAGAAAAATTTAAAGCATCATATTTAGTCATTCCCAGAATATATGTACAAGATCATAACAGTATATATGCCATTTCAACAATCTTTAAAATGGGATATATCAGCAAATAAGCTCTGCAAAATTAATTTCAATATAATACAAAACTAAAAATCACAAAGTGAACTAAATTATTCTAAAAATAACTCTTGCCCAATGTTTAAATTTGACATTTCAAAAATACCTAAGAAAAAGGGATATGAGAAAATTAAAGGATATATTAGAAGCAATTTTTTTTCAAAAATACTTCTCCTACTTCAAAATACATTTATAACTTCAAAAGTGTGTCTACTGAACTTCTGCTTCTGACTTTGAAGGCATAATAGGGATCATATTTGTCCTCCTAACTAGAAAATCAGACAAAATATATGAAACAGACAGACTTCATTCAATAGCCAGCACAGGACTGTGATCCTGAGAAAAACAGACACAAATCAGGTGCCTCCACTTAATCCCTAGAGATACTTTTCAGACCACAGCACAGGGAAGAGGAACCCAAAAAAGAGCCAACATTCTTCCAGAGTTGAGGAGACAAAGTTATGAGTTCACGGAGGCCAGAAAGGCTAGAATATGCAGTACAGGGTGCAAAGAGGAGGAAGCTACACGGAGAGAATGCCAGAGGCCTGTAGAACCCTGAGACTTTAAATGAGTATTAGCCTACATACACTTGTGAGGAAGCTACAAGACCAAAGAAAGAACCCCTGGAAAAGAGTAAGCTGAGCAATCCCTGGAGCTCACACAGAGGGGAGAATAAGTCATGTTCCCATCAGCCAGAGTGAGGACATCAGGAAAAGTCTCAGGTAACGTCTAGAGTTGGGCCAAATCAGCCCTAGAAACAAGGCTACTTTAGACTTGCACTAACAAGGTTTTAAAGAAGCCTCAAGGGCTTCCCTGGTGGCGCAGTGGTTGAGAGTCCGCCTGCTGATGCAGGGGGTGCGGGTTCGTGCCCCAGTCCAGGGAGATCCCACATGCTGCAGAGTGGCTGGGCCCGTGAGCCATGGCCGCTGAGCCTGCGCGTCCGGAGCCTGTGCTCCGCAACGGGAGAGGCCACAACAGTGAGAGGCCCGCGTACCACAAAAAAAAAAAAAAAAAAGCCTCAAAAGGATCAAAATGATTTACACAACAGTGTCCCAGAACAAAGTCCTACAATATTTGAAGAAATACTACAATATCCAACTCCCAAAGATGTAAAATACAGTGTTTAAAAAAAAATCAAAGATGACCAGCATTCAAATAAGCAGAAAACTATGCCTCATAACCAGAAGAAATTACCACACAAAAACAGACCTATAAATGACAGATGATAGAACTAGCAAACAATTCTAATGTTAACTAACAATGTTAAACTAGCTTTCGCAAACATACTCTATATGTTCAAGTACGTATAGGAAAACATGAAGATAAGAAAAAGAAGCTATGAAAAAATAAATTAATCAAACTTCTAGAGATGAAAAACATAATCTAAGGTGAAAAACACTTTGGAACAAAAAAAGATTTTCACATTAGGTAAAACTAAAGAATCCAAATAAAATATGGACTTTAGTTAATAATAATGTGTTAATACAGGTTCATTAACTGTGAAACATGTACCACCATACTAATATAGACGCTAATAGGGAAGATGAGGTATTGGGTGTACTGGAATTCTCTGTATTAGCTTCTCAATTTTTCTATAAATCTAAAACCGTTCTAAAATTAAAACTTTATTTTAAAATATCAAGCCACAGCCTGGAAGAAAAATTTTACAAAACATAAAGGTAGAGGACTTGTATCCAGTATATATAAAAAAATCATACAACTCAGTAAGACAATCCAAAGTTTTTAATGGGCAAACAATTTCATGAACAGATTGCAAATAATACATGAAAATATGTATAATATCATTAGTCATTAGGGAATGCAAATTGAAACCACAAGATACCAC